ACATCTGTTCAAAGGATATTACTCAAAACATAATAAAACCTGTTTTTCTGACCACAGAGGTTACTTAACAACATGCATCACAAGGAAATAATTAAAATTATGAAAGTGACTTCAGAAATGTAGTTAGTGATTTGATTAGCTGCCAAGCACTCTGCATATGGAAAAGGAAGACTCTGTTATGCACTGGTCAGTTGGCCAAATCAGTATGTCCCTGAAAGGGCAAAATACACAGCTAAAAGACCTTCAGAAATGCATCCTGAAGGCCTTATAAAGCTTGCCGAGACCATCACAGTAATTAATGAACTCTCCAAATTTATGGTATCATTGGATCTTGACATTTATTAAAAACAAAAATCACTGCAGGGCCAGGGAAATGATGAGATAAAGAGGTGGGAAAAGAACAACAAAAAAAGCAAATAACCGGGGCAGTTCTCAATTGCTGTTCAATTCAGCTAATCGATTTTGAGGCAGATAAAGTTTGCCTTGTCCCTAAAGGACCCAATTTAGACCAAAAAAAAAAAAAAAGCCTGCTAATTATATATGCTAATTAAAATGAATCTGTCTTAGGCAGGTTCTCTCTTATGCTTTGGAAGTGCGTGGGAGTGTGGGATCTCTGTATCATCTCCTGATTTGGCCAAGCAAATGTCTGCTCGCGCTGAACAAGGACCTGCACTTCTGAAATCAGCCAGCAAGGAAACCTCTCARGCTGGCAGAACGAGGCTGTTTAGGGCTTTTGAGCAGAGTGGGGGATGATCATTTTGGTTCCCCTTGCTTAGGGAGGATGTGTCTGCAAGTGAAGCTTGTTGAAGTAATCACGGATGTGAAATGTTGCCGTGAGAAGGCCTGGCCTCGGGGCAGGCTGCAGTCTGGTATGTTCTGCGCTCAGCTCTTCTCATCTTTTCAGCTTCGCTCCACACAGTAATTTTCCAAATTTTCTCYCATTGATTAGTGGCACCTCCAAGCTGATTTCTTTCTGCAGTAGYCCATCTGGCACTAATCATTAGTGCTTTATAAGTAATTCCATGTTTGACTTTACTAATTAAAGTACTTTGGGTCATAGGGTGTTTTTTCTTTTTTATTCTTGGATGATGCTTTTTTCTTCTTTCTCTTAACTGACACTAAAGCAAAAAATAACCTGCTCTTGAATGGATTATAGCCAAGAACGTTCAAAAATGTTGGCCGAGTGCGATGGCAAGGATTTTTATGGTGAAAGCTTCTTGACGCGGTAAAAGGAATTGTTCTGCAGAGACCTTTCAGGTGACCCCAGAGAAAACAATGTAAACTGCCTGTCTCCCTGGGAACAACGAGGAGGTCTAAGTTAATTGCCAGTGTCTTTAATCCACATCTCCCTTGGGGTTCTTATTCTGCAGTTTTAGGTTGATTCTGATCAGTTTGACGAGGAGACCTGATGCTATCCCCAGTTATGCTACCATAAATCAAAGCAGCGTCTTTGTTAGAGCAGATGAGGTTATTGCRGCCTGAGCAACCCAAGAGAATGAAAATCACAGAAGATCTAAAAAAAAAATTTAATTGTACAGTCTCATTCTGCTCATATGAATGCGATGATGGAGGAACACAGGGATGGTTCTGAGCCAGAGATCAATGAAGTCAAAATCTGTTTTTCCATTCACCTGAGTGAGCTTTCAATTAAGCCTCGTGCTGATGGAAGACAGGACCAGACACAAGACTCAGGGTTTTAATAATGAGCCACGTAGGTATTAATGGGAGTCGAATGATTTATCCCATCCATTACCGAGGGGTAAAGGACTGAGTGAGCAGCCAAGGAGAATTGCACTGAGCATCAAGCAGGATCCCCATTGATTGGAACAGCAGCTCTGTTGCCTGCCCAGCTCCTCAGTCCTCTGCAAACAAAAATCCTTCCCTGGGCTCGCAGGGCAACTTCTCCTGTCCCCGTGGATCTGCAGCATGTGATTACAGTTGGCAGCACCCTGTAGGACAACCTTGCCAATCATCTTAATTGAATCTTTCAGCTATTACCTTGTAGCTGCTGATTTGAGTGTGCCATGTATCTTGCACATCTTTTTCTTCAGAGCAGAATTAGAAAATGTGTTTCTTTTCGCCTTATCTCTATTGATAAATAATTGTATGTTACATTGATTGGAAGCTTTGAACTGGTACATTTGGAGGGGCTGTTTAATATGTCTGTCTGTGAACAACCATGACTTGAACACATTTTAATTACTGCGAATGGTTGTCTGAGATTGGAAAGCACAAAAAAGGTGCTCCAGGACCTTGGAAGATATCTATAAAGGGCTTAGATAGCCAAATGCTGCAGTTGCAGTCAGCTGCATTAATCAGATTGGAAACTGAAGAGAAGAGCAAGTCATTTCTGCTTAGTGAAGTAGGTGATGTTACATTCAGGGTACCTCAAAGGAAGAACAGTAGGAAAACAGGGCTGAAAAATGCATCAGTTTTCTCGGGAGAACAAAGTGAGTTGCGAGTTCTTAGTTTTCTTTCTAAATTCATCTGGTCTGAGAATAAATGTTGAGGATCAGACTCTGTACTGCAGTGAATCTTGCACCAATGCCTTTGACTTCCTTCCAAAAAAGAAAAGTTGGATTCAGTTCACTGTGTCTAGATCAGCTGTGGGTAAATTCAAAATATCCAATTCCCATTTATACCAAGGCCTTGCTGGGGTATGCAGTGGTGTCTTAAATTAGGTAAAATTCCACATTTAAGATTACTTGCAGCACCTTACAGGAGAGCACCAAAGAAGTGCTTAGCAGAGGAAGAACAGGCTGAAAAGTCCTAGAGATGGTTTCGTTTGAGGCAGGCGGTCATGCAGCTGTGTCATCCTGCGTTTCTCTGGAGTGATTTGATTAAAAGGGGAGGATGGATGTTTGTGAGCGCTCTCGTGCAGGGCTGTGGTGCCACTAACCTGGGCAGCTCAGGAAGCCTCCCCCTCGGTGCTGCTGCGTTTATACCGGGCTGTGAGTCCAAGAATGAATCCACAAAGATGCCCAACAGGAGAGCAAAAGCCCAGTGGTCCGTTTTTTCCTCCCGTGTCCCTTTGGTTTATAAGTGAGTAGTAAATAATGCAAATTCTAATGACATCTTAAACGTTCTGGGAGCTGGATGAGCATTTTCAGCCCTCCAGAGGAGGAATGTGGTATATTGATTGATTCGCACTGAAGATGCTGTCTAGCGTGTGAGAAAAAGCCTCCTCTGAATGTTTGCTTGGCCCTCGCTCGTGGCGCAGCAGCTGCTTCGCAGGCAGGGGCCGATGGTGCCTGCAGAAGCCCAACAGCAGAGCTGCCCTCAGGTAACTCCTTTTGCAAAGAGGGTTCTGTGTTCGAGCGGTTTAATGCATTCAATTTGAGGAGTGCCAGCCAAATGGCATTCAGTGAAGAGGTGTATCCAATATGGTTTGGGTCCCYGGGCTCATTTTTCATCACCAAGTGTAACTGAACGGAGCACCTGGTAGAGCAGCTGTTGCAGCCTGGCTCGAAAAGGCCCATCTAAGCAGAGCAGGGGAAGGTGGAAGGCAGAAGGGAGCCCCGAACATCCCTGGGAAGACAACTTCTTAGTTAGCGGGTGGTGATTTGGTTTAGTGTTGTGTCCTCTGCCAACTTGATCTCCTTGGTTTCTCCACGAGCAGCACAAGCACGGAGTGTGGTCTGCCATGCACGGGCCATATGTGCAAGGGACATGGGACATGGCTGTGGTCTCTGTAAATGCATCGACCACGTTAAATAAAAGGCAGAAAATGCAGTTTGGGTTTGACTGCCTGCCCGTTTCATACCACTGAGCAGAACTTACCGCCAGTGGCAGCTCAGGCAGCTTAACCTGTTCYCAGTTTCCAGAGTGAAAGGCATCGCCGGTGTCCACACCACACATCTGCTGCTGCAAACCTCCTACCGAGGTCGATCTGTGGGGTTTGCAATGACCAAGAGCAATGTTAATATATTCTATATTCCAAAAATATATATTCTATATATATTCTAAAATATATAATATATATTTTGGGGTTAAATAACGCGTGCAGAGTCGCCAGCAAAGCTGACGGGAGAGCAGCTACAGCGAGAGCTTTTACCTGCTCCCTGGCAGACCAGGTTTATTGGTTTTAAAGTGGGCCTTTCCTTACCCACGGGAAGCTAATTCACATGCTTTGCTGCAGCATTTCAGTTCCATCACTGCAAATATGGTTCCAATCAGGAATGAGGCCATTGGAACCAGAGGGAGCAGCCAATCCTAGGACTAGGACTTCCAAGGCTGGCGTTGGGCATAGCAAGGAGGGCACATCCGTGCAAATCAGCTCCGAGACAGAGCTTTGATTTTGCTGGAAGTTGTACTGGAGTTTCAGCTCCAGCACTAGTAGCAAGATGACAGTAGAAGTGTTTGGTATGTTTTAACTAAATAAAAAAGTGTAAATTAGATGGCAGCATTCGCTTTGCTCTGCACACAGCCTGTGTGGTGCTAATTAAATCCTCAGCTTCTTTTCTAGTGGAAGGAAGATTGAGAAAACAAGTCTGAAATCAATTCTCCATTTAATTCAAGTAACTCTTTTCCATGCAGTTACTTTTCTACTGCGATGTTAGCGATGTTGTTGTAATAGCAAGCCAGTAGGTATCACAAAGAACTCGGTTTTATGGAAAGAAATGTAAGGTGAAATGTAGAAATTTTACAGGTAGCARCACAAAACCAGGAGGCTAAGGCAAAAGCCCATATCTCTGCACAGAAATTGGTTTTGCTTTGTTAAAACTCCCCCTTGGAATTTTGTTGTGCTGGTTCAGAATCAGCCTTTCAGATGTCCTATGTTATTGCTTTATCATGTTAATCACAGCACGTTCCTGTAGAAACCTCAGCCCAGTCTGTTGGTCACGAATCGCTGCTATCCTAAGCCAATTGGGAAAAGTGCAGCAGGTCTGGATGGATCCTGGGAGGTGTTGCGGAGTGATGAGTATCAGGCGTTAGCAGAGGATTGATGTTTACAAACTTTGACTCTTGTTCTTACACTTTCTTTCTCTGTCTTCCTGTAGGTTATAACCCTGGAAGGATGGGTTGACATCATGTATTATGTGATGGATGCACATTCTTTTTACAATTTTATATATTTTATATTGCTTATAATAGTAAGTATGAACCGTGAGATACTCCCATTCCCTCGCCTTGTGGGGTAACGCTGTTCCCTGGCCTTTTCCCAGAGAGGGCAGCCAGCTGGGATTCACAACGGGAGACCTCCCTTCCACTGTGAAGTGTCATCACAGAGCTTGTGATTACTGCTGTGGACAGAGGTATTGGCTACCACAAGCTCTGTCCTTCTTGGTGTCACATGTGATGTACAGTCACAACTTGTCAAGCCATATGGCCTTCTCCTTCCATTTACTCTCTTGGTTTTGGTCTTATCACCTTGATGTGTCCTAACTACTGTGCCTTGGCCAAATAATGAGAATGAAGAGCAGAGAGGCAATGGTTTTTCTACCCTTAGTCTCCTCCACATGGCAGGAGACAACTGACTTCAATGAAGGATCCTCAAAAGGTTGCTAAGCTTCACCTGAGCACTTTAAGTAATGGCAGTAATAGCAGTGAAATTTTGTAAGGTCCTAGGGTGCTGTCATTCCTTTAAAATATATCGTACTGTTTCTTGGAGGAGCTTGATGTCCTCTGAAGCTTTAATCCCCTGTTAGCAAGATTTGTTTAGAATGGAACTGGGAATCTAGCTTTTTCCTGGGGGCTATATTTTTGGGAAAAGTCAACCATTCAGGTCAGAAGGAGAGCCGAGGGAAAAGAACCACATAGATGTCAGGTAAGACATGGAACAGAGGCACTTCAAAGTGCTCTTGCAGATGGATATTCTTTACACACAACCCCATCATTATCTCTGTGCTTTTGAAGCCTTTGCTAACTCTGAATTTGCAAGTCAAAGTACCACATCTCCCACCAGCAGTGGGAAGGTGTAGATTTGACCGCTGTGAGAGTTCCCCTGTCATGGACAACATTGCAAAGCCAGTGATTTTGGGGCTTTCAGCAATAAGCCTTGCATAGCAGAGATTTCCTCTTCCCCCTCTCAACCCTTTGCTTCATATGGATCCTTGCAGAGAAGCCAGAAGTTGACTAATCCCCAAGTCACTTGGAGTTGGGAATGGCACCCCTTCTGCTTTCCAAAGAGTATCCAGACTGCTATTACAGATTGGAGTGTAACACCACAGACTATCTCCTGCTGCCTTCCCCTGAGGATCCACCAGACAATGGCCCAGATTAAATCCATACGTTTCCTACGGAGCCCAGCATAGAGGTTTGGCTCTGTAGGCCATGGCAGTTTCTTGACGTCAGTCCCTTTCACACGTAAAGGCACTGATTCTCCGATGGGAATATCTGACATTTTCCTTTGGCTGATTTATGAACCCAAGTGGTGAAAAGCCAGTGTGTGGACTTACCAGCTGAGGAGAACGCAACCTTAGGCCACTTTATATTCTTATCCTYGGACTACATTTCCAAGCCAGATATCATCCAAGATTGTCAACTCAAGCCAGCCACTTAATCGGGCTTTAGAGGACCACCAAACCTCCCGGAGATATATTCCTCTGTGTCACAAAGAGCTACAAGAGAAAGGTGACTTCAGAGACTTATGGACCCTGACTGGCATCCTAAAAACCAGCGTATGYTGTGCCAGGGCATGAGATGACAGAAGAAGAGAGAAAGCAGTCCTGGTACAGCACGAATTGGACTCCAAACATCCTTCCTTGTGGGTTGGCTGGGTGTTTCCTAGTGGTCTGTTTTGCAGTGGTGATAGATTACGTTGTGTTTCTTACACCCTAAGTTAGTAGCAAATGTGATCATTGTTGGTAGGAGGAAAGTGGTGAAGGGTATTGTTAACAGCTTTCTGTGCCATTGCCAAAATAGCTTAACAGGCTTCAAGAGCAAATTTAGCAGCTCAAGTGCATGTCAATATAACATTTGGTGAGCAGACTCTGAGATTTGGCATGTTTGGTCATCTTAAGATTTCTACGAGCCACAATTCAGCCTAGACACCACGTGGTGGCAAAGTGCATGTGTTGCTTTGTAAAATTGCTGCTAATTCCTTTCCCTGTGTCTTCTTCAGGTTGGTTCCTTCTTCATGATTAACTTGTGCCTGGTTGTGATAGCAACACAGTTTTCTGAAACAAAGCAACGGGAGAACCAGCTGATGCAGGAGCAGCGGGCCCGGTATCTCTCCAATGACAGCACAATTGCCAGCTTCTCAGAGCCAGGTAGTTGCTACGAGGAGCTGCTCAAATACATCTGCCACATCTTCAGGAAGGTGAAGCGGCGGACGATACGCCTGTACAACAACTGGCAGAGCAAGCGCCGGAAAAAAGTGAACCCGAACAGCACCACGAATGGGCAAAGCCGCCGGGGCAGGAAGCGCATCACCTCCATTCACCACCTCATCCACCACCACCACCACCACCACCACCACTACCACATCAGCAATGGGAGCCCTCGGGGGCCGCGCTCCAACCCGGAGATCTGTGACCTGGAACTCAAGGTCATGAAACCCGGAGGCCAACTGATGCTTCCCCCTCCATCACCCAACCTGCAGAGCCCTGCTCCTCCTCCGGATTCAGAGTCTGTGCACAGCATTTATCATGCTGACTGTCACGTTGAAGGGCCACAGGTGAACTGTAAGTCTTCCAATGCCCCTGCAAGCATTAAATTGACCACTGGACTCTCCAACCATGGCAACATGAACTATCCTACCATCCTGCCTTCTCCGACTAGCAAAGCCAGTTCTGTTCCAGTTCCCAAAGGAAAGAAGAATGGTAATTCACCTGTGGCCATGGTTAATAGCCCAGTAAATCTGGGCACGGATCCTTATGGGAAGCTGCAACAACTGGTAGGAGAGCATGGTAAGGGCAAAGGAATTGATATTCTTGCTTAGGAAAACTCGGCAAAGGGAAAACACTTTGATGTGATTAATTCCAAAGAGCTGGAGATGTTCTCCTCTCTGTGGCTGTTCCAGGAACGCAGGTAGGAAACACTCCTGCGTTCTGTTATTGACCCTGCCATTGACCTGCCAATGGTGTGGACAGAGCTCCCTTTTCATCTGTTTTTCTTATCTGTAAAATGCTGACCGTGATACCCTCTAACATCTGGGTGTCAGGATACAGGGTATTTTGGCCTCTCTGATTTAAGTTCTGTCTGAATCATCATTTTTTTTTCCCAGTCATTCTGCCTACTCTTGTAGGCCCAAAAGCTGCAGTTACAGGGTTGTTGGGGTTCACTGGAACATGAGACCAAGACGATGCAGTCTTCCAATAAAAGGTCAGACAAAAGTCCTCAGAATGCCAAGTATGCTAATAGTAGTCAAGGAGGGTGCTGCAGGTAGAGGCTGTACTATGAAAGCTATTGGAGCTGAGCATGGAAGCCAGCCATAAGGTTAAGGYTGCTCTGTTCCTATATTTGCAGTAGCTGGGTAAAGCAAGGTATGAGATAGTCCAGATAGCAAGTTCAGGACACCGTTGGAGGTCTCTTCCTCATGGTCACAAAGTGCGGATTTTTAAACGTTTCTCATGTGCTAAGTGATGCCCTGCAGAGACTCTTCCTTTGTTCTCACCCAAGCATAGATCAATGCCGCCCCTGGCATTTCATCTCTGAAAAATGACAGATCTGCTGGCTATAATCCTGCAGCAGATAAGCCCCAGCTGCTGGGAGATGGTACCTTGAGAGGGAAGAGCAGGTGGAAGCCGGTGCAGAAACAAGAGGTACAGAAAGTGGAAGATAAGTAAAACAGGGTGGCACGATAGAAGCTTCTAGAAACCCCTGGGTCTGCTCTTACGGGCTCCTGAGCCTCTAGATTTCTTTTTGGCAAGAAAAGGAGCATAAAGTTTGGAGGACGAGCTAATCCTCAGAGGATGTGTGTGAAGACAGTGGTGTAGCCCTGTTGCAGGTCACCACGCTTCCTCTCTCCTCATATGCACAAGACGTGTATATGGATCATAGGAACTAACTTGTTCCAATGTCACATCCCTGTTTGTGCAAACTGCAGCCACACCGGTGTTTTTAGCTTTATCTCCATTTTAGCTTTATCTCCATTTAGTTTTATCTCTGTTCTTACCAAAATCATCTGCTGCTGCAGTCATGTCTACACACAGCACTTACCTTTCCAATTTTTCAAAATGTTTTCAGCTCTCATGGCTGGAGCTAAATGCTGAAAAGCAGAAGTCTTAAGCAAACAATACAACGTCAGAAAGATGTCGTTTCTATTTTTTTCAAACACTTTAAGCCAAACTCCTTGTCTTTATTTTTTTTTCCAGAATGCATGTTTTCCAAAACTGTTTATCTGTGTGTGCACAAATACAAATGTTTTTCCTAGTGATGTATGTGCTGAAAAAATACCAAGCCTAGCTTCAGCGGGGGTCACAGTAAAGGCTGCTTGCCAAATAGGTTGGGTGGCTTGTCTTTGTTAATACTGTTTTATAAGTGACCATACAAAAGGGTAAATCGGCTTGTTTATAGAAATTGCCTTCAGCAGACGTTTCTGTACTTTTAGAGCTTAGCAGGAGGGCAGAAGGGGCAAGGTTAGCTGCAATATTCTTCCGTTGTTAAGCAAGGGTTTTATATGAATCACTGGTACATCTTTAACTTTGCAAGTTAATGAAGGTTATTATGAGAATGTGTATTTACCTTGAGATAAAAGCCCAGGCACAATAGGAGCCTGRAGCTGGGAAACCAAGGCCGAGTGAAACCGCTGTTGCTTGGAAGGTGCTGCTCAAGGCAGAGCATTGATCCTCTGTGCTCACTGTGGCCTCTGTTGCCTTCCAAGAGAAGGAAGCACCAAATCTGAGTCCCACCAGCAAGAAAATCTCCAATGATTAGGTAGATTTCCATGTGGCCTGTGGTGGTGCTTTGAGAGCCTGAGGTTGGATGCAGTTATTAATAATGCAGGAATGGCGTCCTCTTTCCATAGAGGCATTGCAGCCCTGAGGATGCCAAAAGGCTTTAAACATGTCCCCTGGAATGGCTTTATCTCTTCCAGAAGTTTACTCCTCCCTAGGTGAAGCTCCCAGTGGATGCACCTAAATCCCAGCAAACTCAGCAAAGCGGGGGCTGTGTTGTGCAGGGAAGGTGAAGGGAGCTGCGAGCTCCCTCCAACTCTCCCCATCTCTGTCCCTGTGCAAATGGAGGGCTGTTTCCCCCAGGTCCCCCCTTCTAGGTGCAGAACCCATTCCTGGCAAGCCTTGAGCAYGGGGGAGCACACAAGAAGAGCGCTGAGCGATAGCCGAGAACATTAGGAAGGCATTAGCAGCCAGGGCACTCGCGGCCCCAGCTGGAGACGAGGCTGGTGCCGGTGGGGAGGGCGGCCATGGTGGCGGATTCGCTCCTCTCCTTTTGTTGTGGGATYGAGCAGCCCCGAGTACAGCCTGTTCCTCCGAGTTCCCGTGCCCCGCAATGCTGGGAGGTTATTTTAGCAGGCAGCCAAGGAGACTCTGGTATTTTGAAGACATCTGCGGCGCCAGGGTTTTTCATATAATTTTTAACGCTTTGATAGCACTCCAGACATGCGGGGAGCCCACGGCCAGCCTCAACGGGGCTGCGYGAGCACGTTGATTAACAGGGCGAATATTTCTGCTCCTGTCAGCACCTTTGATACAAGGGCAATCCCCTCATGCTGGGCTGTCAGCCTTGCTGCAGAGCCTGGTGGCATCTGAGTGACATTTGGGGCAGTAAAGTAAAAACTGCACCGTAAAACCTGTGTRGAGACAGGCCGAAGGGACCACACAGCGCTCTAAGCCAAGACCTCTGTCTGTAGCTGCCTCTTGGTCCCTTTCTCCCCGCTCCCTCCTYGTTAGCAACTAAACAGAAATGCTGTCTAGATTGGACATAGTGCCTCGAGAGCRTTCAGGTTGTCACTAATGGTGCTCAGCCTCTCGGATTTCATCCAAACCGGAACAAAGGGAGCGGTACAAAATGTGCCGCACAAAATGGCTGCCACATGGTGCCTCACGGCGAGGGCGGGCGGGAAGGAACGGGGCTCTCGCCGCAGCGCCTCACGCTCCGTGTCCCCCTCGCAGGTCTGCGGCGGACGCCCAGCCGCCTGTCGGGGCTGAGCGTGGCCTGCCCGCTGCCCGGCCCCGCCGGCGCCACGCTGACCTGTGAGCTGCAGAACTGCCCCTTCTGCGCCACCATCCTGGAGGACCCCGAGCTGGCCTTCAGCGAGTCTGACAGCTACGACTCGGACAGCAACAACGGCGTCTACGAGTTCACGCAGGACCTGCGGCACGGCGACCAGCGCGACCAGCTCCAGCAGCAGCAGCAGCAGCGGGGCCGCCGGAGGAAGAAGAAGAAGCCCAAGGAGAGGAACAGGGTCGCCCGGCTCTGGAAAGCTTTCGGCACCAAGCTGAAAAGGATCGTGGAGAGCAAGTACTTCAACCGCGGGATCATGATCGCCATCCTGATCAACACGCTGAGCATGGGCATCGAGTACCACGAGCAGGTGAGCACAGACCCGGGGAGACACCGGTGGTTTCTCAATGAGCTTGAAGCAGCTCAACTTGTGGTCCGACAGCTTTGCAATGAACGTGAGTGTCCGTGTGAGCATGGAAAGCTGGGTAGTTTGCTCTCTGTGGAGGTACATGGATGTGTTGGRACACGAAGGCTTGGAGTCTGGCTTTGCTGTGTACAAGGCTTAAGCTGTCAGGCTGAAAGCAATAAAAMCAAAGTCCGTTTCTTCCCTAAGGAGATGGTTTCTCGCTTAGCCTGAATGTGTAGTATGGTCTCGTAGGGTGCAAGTTGGTCTTTCTTCTAAGTGCTTAGAGGGAAGAAGGGAAAAAAATTAGTCTTTTCGCAGCACTGGTCTGAACATGTCGGTGGTAAGAGTGGCAGCTGAGGACAGCTTGTCCTTGCAGGCTGGTGGGAGAGGGACATGAGTCATCTGAAGATCTCCAGTTGGTCACTCTATGGGAAGCTCTGTGTTGCTTGTCTGTGCTCRTCTTTCTTAGAAAAAAATATATTACTTTCAACTGTTGTCAAAGCTGGCCCTGGCGTTTTGCATGCCGCCTCTGCAGGAGATGCAGAAGATGCTTCCCCGTGGCGCCACGCGCTCCTTGTGCTCGCTTCCTGCGAGGCTGCAGCTTCAGCCCGTTCTCTCCCCAAATTCAGTGCAGAATTGGGTACAGGTTACACTTGTGACAGAGCTAATCCTCCTCCCTGCTGCAGTCTGTGCCTCGGAAGTGAGGAGAGGCAGAGCACCATAGTGTGTGCAAAGGCAGGATACGTTGCTTTGCATTTGCTTCTCCATGATTTTCCCAGGATTAGCAGTTGCGACTCGGTACCGCGGCAAAACAATCCCCGCAAGTGCCACTGCTTCATTTCCCTCCCCACTCCCTSCTGGCATCCCCCATAACCTGTGCTACACGAGGCCCATTTTCTTTCGGAAAAGCAAATACTYGGATGACAAACGTGAGTGACAGCCCAGCAACAATAAACTAGTTCACACGTACAGAACAGAGGGTCTCAACCCAGTGCAGGAATAACTGTCGCTGTCAGCTTTCTGCCTGGCTAGTTGTTTCACAGCAGCTCTTAAATTAGGAAATTCACCTTGTCAGTCGCCTTTGAATAGGCGCATTCATTCCTCAGAGCGGCTGCGTTTCTGCACGGATACTCCTTGTCACACAGGTTCGGCTTTGTCAGTCCTTGGATATTCCCGTCATGGGTGCTGGGGGAAAACCTTAGACAGGCTGCCGTGAGAAAGCCCAGGGATCACATGGAGCCTGTCYGCAATCACTCGTACAAAAGTAAATTGTGATAATTGCATCCTTGTTCCTGACAGAGTAAAATTCTAGCCTGCAGGTTTATATTGGATTTTACCTTGTAAAAGATTTGCTTTAAACCATCTCAAAGCCAACGGCAATAAAGATTCTGGAGCTCTTGGCTGAAGATCATCAGGCTCCTGCCAGCTTTGCTCGCAGGCACTGCCCGGTTGGGCCCAATAAAAAGGGAAGAATTTTGAAGTGAAACCTGTAAGAGTTTCTCCGTGTGCCTGCTGCGAAGCKGTAAGGAGCTGTCGGAGCTCCTGAGCACCTCTCCCAAAGCGTCTTGTATCCGTGGAACCATCACCAAGGCACTGCCTGAGGCCAGTGCACCAGCCTAAAGCAAAATGCCTCGGGGCTCCCAGCCCATTTGGCATGAAACGTTTGGGGCAGCTTTGGGCCAAGTGGGGTCATTTCAGAACCTGAAGCATTCCCCCTGTGGGAACTGGCTGCCAGGCTGGAGGTGGGGGACTGGATTTGTATGGACACATGGAGCAGTTGCCTCGGTTGAGCAAGGCCGTGTGTTGTTGGGACAGGGGAAGGTGAAAATGGGTCATTTTGGGCGTGCCGTGCTCATTGCCTGAAAAAAACTTAGTTTAATCCCAGCTCCTTGATTACTGCGTGCTTGATGCTGCCCCTTCCCTCCTCACCTCTGCTCAGAGCAGGTGTTAAGGTGTGAGCCTTGCTGGGATGTCCAGCCAGCCCCGGCTACTACCACTGCCACCTCCTGCATTTTCCCAAGGGCAAACCCAGGTCRTGAGGCTTTAGGAGCTGCCTACAAGGACAGCAGCTCTGAGATGGTCTCCTRGCTCTCCTCTGAGATGGTCTCCTGGGTCTCCTCTACCTTCTTTGTCTCCCCCAAGCTGCTCAGTGCCACCCAGAGCACTCCCTTGGGTGACAGCTCCCCTGCTCTGTGCCCTGACACCCCTCAGCCCTGAAACTCTTGCTCTGGGTGGGAGAGTTTAAGCAGGTCCCTTGGTCTAGACCGTCCCCACTTGTTCTACTGGACAGTTAGCAACTAGTTGCATCAAACAGGACTGAAGTGAGTGCAACAGCCACCAAGSAGCCCTCCTTATACCCTACAGTCTGTAAGGACATGCCCAAACCCTGCAAAAGAAATGGTTAAGCAGCTTCTGGCTTTTCTTCCCTGGCTTCTCTGACTTTATAGAGTCATCAGTAACTTTGCAGATAGTTGGGCACGCAGTATTAATTTTTATTGCAGAGTTATTCAAAGCCAAAGCATCAATCGTGTGAGCGTGTGGGAGGGATGGGGGGTACCAAAACRACGTGTGGCAGTGGAAGATAGAGCAGTGCCAGTCCTCGCTGYGTTACCTCGCCTTTCATCCCGGGCAGGGCTCTGCAGAGAAGTCACGCGGGGCCCTCTTGAGGCAAGCGAGCATTATTGTCACCGTCGCCCAGGTGGGGAAATTGGGGACCACAAAGGTTGTGAGGTGCCAAGCCACCAAAATGGCGTGGTCTTCACTGCTTGACTGTCAATGCACCTGCAGGACAGGTTGGTACCTGGGCCRTAATAGCTCTTTGGTGGCACCCTGTGGCAAGACAGGAAGGTGGTTTGGTTTGTCTGTACTGCTGCAGTCGCAGGTGGTCCAGGATGAATAACCAGGGACCTGTTCGTATCCAAATCCCCTTGAGGCTCAAATAAGGGGTTTTATGAGGTTAAGAAGCCCAGGGCATCTGCTTGAGTGGTCACTCTGGCTCCTTTTTTGGCCAGCCCAGTTGGCATCCCCCCTTTTAGTGCCCACAGCCTAAGTGCCATTTTAAAGCAGGGATCCAGTCTCGTGGCTAAAGGCATGACCATAGCAACAGGTTGCTTGTGAGGAGGAGAGGGAAAGGCCAGAGCATCTAGGGATGCTTTTTAGCAGTCCCGCTCCTTGCAGAGACAGATTGAGGATTTCATGGCAGCACAGGCACTTTGTGGCAGGAGATGCGGGTACCAGGAGGCAGCTGGTGATGGGAATGGTGTTTCTTTGGGACTTCAGTTATTAGCAGCACTTGGATCTTCCCGCACGGCCTATCCGTGGGGTTAGCAGTCRGCTCTGTCTGCGACTGCCACGTTGCACACGGCTGGTAATTAGGAGATATCAGGATGATGTTAGTTAGTAGGAGCGTGACTTGTATTTCAAAGGTTAATTGACTGCTTTGGAGCTCATTCTCCACCACCACCACCCTGCCTTGTACTTTATTTATTTCTTTATTTTTCCATCAGTTCAAACAGGCATTCCCACAGATGAGAAAAGCCGAGTACAAAGAGGAAGGCAATCTTTGCATTATTCTCCCAGGCCATTTCAATAAGCCGAATAACTTCATTCCACATTCGTTGCAGCTGACAACTCTCTAGAGTATCTGCAAAGGGGCCGTGGTACTGCAGCAACCAAGCTAAACTGCCTRGTTTCCCAAGCAGGAATAATGCACTCCAGGAACAAGAGTCCTGCTGTGCTCCCGGGCTGGCGTGGGACGTGCCTCGTATGCCACGAACATGCGAGGCCATCCCRGGAGCTGCATTTCAGCTCCCACTGGAAGCTAATCCCTTTCGGCCCCATGGTGCCCTTCACACGCTGGTCTGAAGTCTTAATTGCTTCTCCTCTGCACCTCTGCCGCAGGTCCTGCTGGAAAGGGGTGGCCTCTAATCCTTCTCATCTACGTTAAGGCCGTGCCCCTGGCTCAGATGTAGAGCTGTGATGTGGATTAGGGAACGGATGAGGCCAGAGCTCAGTCCTGCCAGGGGAACTCGATTCACAGAGCCCCCGGTGCCCGAAAAGAGATCGAGTCCTGTTCATTCATCCTAAAGAGCTGCTGCTACTATCCCTGCAGGCTGGTGAGCTCCTGATCATCCCTGCAGGCTGGTGAGCTCCGGATCATCCCTGAGGACCTTTAACTGTTGGGAGTTTGGGAGGAGAGGCCCCACTTCTCTTCCCAGAGGAATTTGCAGGACTAGCTGTTGGTAATAGTAATGATTTCACATAAAAGACTCCATTTACATCAAATGGCTCTAGAAATGCTATTTTATATTCACTTCTCACAAGAGAAGTACAAATTAATATTTGTTCCAAGCTAGTACTGTTCAAAGGGCTTATAATTGGCTTTCTGCTCCCTTACTTGTGGTGTGTTGCATTTAGAGCAGCTGTCAATGCATTAGATAGGAGCCCACCTTAGTGGGCACCCCAGGGTCCCTGCTCATCAGGGTAAGGGAAGTGCTGGTTTTGAGTAGCACATTGTATATTTTGGAGCAAAAGTGATTCTGTATGATTTAAGGTAGCAACCAGCTTCTCTAGTGATGCTCTATTTTAGCATTTGTCAGTTTTGGCTTGAAGAATTGGGTTGGCCCGTGAAACTCAGCGCTTATTCAAAAAGCAGAGGAGACTTTCAGCAGTGTTTGAAGCAAATTGCTTCAATTGCTTTTGAGTTGTGAGTCAATAAAATATTATCCTGATTTGAGATTCTGACTTTTAGCTAGTAAAACTTGTTCACTCTTCAGACATTCTGCATGATTCAGTCTTCAGAGCATTCACACTGGTGGGGCTTGAAGCAAACAGACTTGTTCCTAAATCAAATAAGAGATGAGTTTATTAGGGTAGAGCTCAAGGTAGGAAAAGGCGACCAAATCTTGGCAGAGATTTCCAAGGAAGCAGGATTCGATGCTTTGCTTTCCTGGAACATGGTCTCT